CCTTCCTCAGTAACTTTGAGGGGAAATCACAGTCAATGAATAGAGCAGGAAAGGAATAATGTACTTTTTTGGGGGTATTTTTATTGAAGTCTATGTAATTATATCATGTAAATGTAATTACAGTAAAGTGGACAAGTGTTAAATTTTGATGAATTTGTGCATCTGAATTAAGACAGAACAGTATCATCACATTAGAAAATTGATCCCTTCCCAACTGATCCCTCACCTTAGAAAGTCAACCTCTGTTCTGATTTATTCCCCCAAATTAGCTTTGTCTGTTTGCCTCTTCTTGAAATCACATAAATGGAGTCATGCAGTGTGGACTTTTTTGTGTCTGGCTCCCCAACTATCTCCTCAACACATTGTCCTTGAGACAATTCATCCATGTTCTTGTTCACCTCAGTTGTTCATTCCTTTGTTGTTCAGTCATACTCTGTTATATAAATGTACCACATTTTTTTTTACTCATTTTCCTGTTGATGGATATCATGTTTTAGTTGTTCACTATTATGAATAAAGGTGCAATGGACATTCTTGTGGATGGATGTTTTCATGTCTTTTGGGTGAATACTGAGGAGAGGAATTGCAGGAGCTTAATAAATAATAAGTAAGTAATACTTGGCATGTTAAGCTTTTTTAATATTAACCATTCTAGTGGATGTGTTAGCATATCTCATCATGGTTTTAAATTTGCATTTCCCTGATGACTAAAAATGTTGAGCATCTTTATGTCTTCTTTTGTAAAATGTCTGGTCAAGACTCAAGCCTTTTGCCAATTTTTATTGGGTTATTTGTCTTTTAAAAAATTATTTAATTGTTGGAGTTCTTTATATAGCTTGAATATATATTCTTTGTCAAATATATGTATATTTAGTGTTCTATTTTGTATCCTGTCTTGGATCTATTCTCTTTTTTAAAATCTTTATCCTTTCACTTTATTCTTCAGTAGTTGCTCTAGGGATTACAATATATATACTTAGTATATATATCTTGAATTAATACAGTGCCACTCAATGTATAATATAAGAAGCTTACAACAGCATAATTCCGTTAGCCTTAACCTTGTTTTGCCATTGCTGTCATATAATTTGCTACTACATGTATGTTACAAACCCCCAAATACAGTGTTTTTACTTTTACTTTAAATAAGTATTTTTCAAAGAAATTGGTAAAAAATAGTATTATATATTTACCACTTCTTTACCATTTCAGGCACTTTAAAAAATTTTCTGTAGAACCAAATTACCAATTTTCAAACTGGTATCATTTTCAGCCTAAAGAACTTGCTTTAACATTATTCTTACAGTATAGGTCTACCGGCAGTGGATTCTCTGTGCTTTAATTTATATGAAAATGTCTTTGTTTCATCTTTGTTTTGAAAGACAGACTGTTTTTTGAAACAGGATTGCACTGTTTTCCCTGAAAAGTGAGCCATCACTTTTCTTTTACCTCTGTGTATTGCTCATCTGTCTGCTGTTAGGATACTCTCTTTATCTTTGTTTTTCAGAATTTCTTACTATTTTCCTGTAATGTATGGCACTCCTTTGAGTATATATTTTTTCCCCTCAGGTCCTCTTTTTTGCAGATGCTGCTTACATATATACTTGACTGCTTGGTCCTGTTCCTAAGTCATTAGTACTCTGTTCAGTTTTCAGTCATTTTTCCTTTTGCTTTATTTTGGATAATTTCTATGTGTGCTAAATCCAACATCAGAGACAGTTTGTTGACTGATCTTTTTCATGAATATAGGTTATAATATCATCTTATTTCTTTGCCTGTCTCATACTATTTTGCTGAAAAGTGATCATTTTAGAAAATATAGTAAAACTCTAGATTGTGATATTTTTCCCCTGAAAGTTGTCATTTTGTTGTTTTTACTACTATTGTTGTTTTAGTAACTTGCTTGGACTTAAATCGACAGAATCTGTCCCCTCCATATGTTAAGCAGTATTTTTTTAAAAAAATTTTTATTCTAATGTTATTAGCCTGGTTTCCTAGGGGTTGCTTGTGTGTCTGCATAGCTCAGGGTCAACCAGTGACTGACTGGTCAGAGGTTGTGCTCAAACACCTTCAGCCACAGAGCTTGCCCCTCTGTAGACAGGTCTGTGTGTGCGTCAGGAGCACATCAAAGTCAGGTAGTTTTCAAGTCTGCCCGGATTTTACTTTCTATTGGGCCCTCTTAGATCTCCCCCGTGTATGTATGCAGCATCCACCCAGCCTGCGGTCTTATCCGGGCCCTTTACTGTGCTTTCATTTCCAGGGTCTCATTATGTGTCTGGTTAGTCTTCCCTCTGCCAACCACCCCATTTGTGACTGTATCCTCGGGCTGCAAGAGCTATCGGTTCTCCATTTATCTCCTACCAATCTTGTTCCTTTTATGGACAGTCCCACTGGGCAGGAGTGAGCCGCTCTAGCGGGGAGGCTGCGGTTTATTCTGGCTGGCCCTGCCCTCCGTGGTGGAGCTACCAAGATGCCTGAACTACACGAATGGTGAGAGCCGCCCCAGGCAAGAATGCCACAGGATTCTTCTGTTCTTACCCCAAGTTTATTAGTTTTTTACAAGCAATTGCTTCTCAATTTGCTCTTTGCTTAGTTTCCAAAGTTCTAAAGTGGTTGTTTTTGACAATTTTATCCCATGTTGCAGTTGTGTCTTGGGGAGAAGCTTTACTGACTCCTTCATTTTTATTATAATCAGAAGTCTTGCTGCCTTTTGACAAAGGAAAAGAGAAGCCGAAGATGAAGGCCCTGTCATGGGGAAGATCCTGGGGATAGTATTCTCTACAGTTTGTAAATCTGTAATGAGCTACCAGGTTTAAAGAGCTATAAGAATGAAATGTCCCTGAGTAGTTTTTTTTTTTGACCAAATGATTCAGAGGTGAAGTGTGTTGAATGATCTATGTAATTATTGTGTCTTGGGAATCAAATACCAGTGATGAAGAAGAATTCATAGCAAAATATATAATTATTCACAAAAAGAAAATTATTTATTAATACCTTACCTAGCCTGGAAAATCTACAGATTTACTTTCCATGAGATTAATTCTAAAGGATTATCAGTATCAGCATTTTTCCTTGATACTTTGCGCAGTGATAGTTGATATCATCCTAAGATGAGATTCCTATTAAACAGCAAGTGTCTTGTCCCTTGCTCCCTCATTTCTGTGCCATATTAGAGACATAGAGAAGTCATTCCTTTACCTCTGCTCCAGCTCTCTCAAAGCTTTCCTAGGACCTCAGACTCCTTTAACTAGGAGCAGAGCTTTTCCTCAAGTGGGCGAGGAAAGGTAGTTAACTCTCATGGGTGGTCACTTTTCAACCCATTGCCATGTGGTTGGAGCACAGCCTTCCCAACTTGTGTGAAGAAAGGAGTTACTGGGAAACTTAAAGGCCCAGGTCCTGAGGAGGCAGAAGGGAAAGGCAAGCTCCTGAGCAAAAGGAAGCTGGGGCTGTTTAGTAGGAGGCTTCTCTGACACAGCTCTGTGGCCTTACATCGCCCTGCTCACCTTCCTCCGGGTTCTGGCAAGCAGGGCTGCTGCCATGAGCCTCAAAGGCCAGTGTGGAAATCCCCACTGGGGAGCAAATCCTGATAGAGCCCTGGGGCATCCTAGGACCGCACCCAGGTCTGGAGGGATTGTGGGGAGTGGGAGGGGTGCCAGCTACTCCCAAATATACCCGGTTTGCAGACTGGGAATTGTTTAAAGACATTGTTGATTTTCACTAAACATCTGCTAGGTGTCCTATAACTTTTTTTTCTGGGCTCAAGGATTGTATTAATCAAGCAAAATTAATCTTTTGTTATTATTATTTGTGAGTTCTGTCTCCATCAGAATTCAGGTTGGGGTGGGGTGGCATTTTTCTTCTGCTCTTTATCTTTCTGTACCCCCTTCCCTACATTTCTGCTGGGACAACTTTTAACATCTAGCATGAACTTATTAGACCAATCTTGACTGTAGCTCCAAATAAAATACAGAATATCCTGGCAACTCTCAAATGCAGTGTTTCTTAATCAAATCACTGGAATCACTTCTCATTAGAATCACTGGAGGAGATTTTAAGAATCGTGGTGCTCAGGCTGCATGTGAGACCAAGGAAATCAGACTGGCTGGTGATGGGATCCAGGTGGTCAGTGCTGAGAACCAAAGCTCTCATGAAAAGCAGTACAGCTGTCCCCTCCTTATCCACCATTTCACTTTCTGCAGTTTCAGTTACATGCTGTCAACCAGGGTCTGGACGCAGATGATCCTCCTCTTGACGAATCGTCAGAAGGTCTATAGTAGGCTAGCCCTACATCACAATGCCTATGTTGCTCACCTCACCTCATCTCACCAGGTAGGCATTTTGTCATTTCACATCTTCACAAAAAGAAGAGTAGGTACAGTATAATAGTACAATTTTGAGAGACAACATTCACATAGCTTTCATTGCAGTGTATTATGATAGTTTATTAGTAGTTCCCCTGTTACTGTCTCAGTGTATCAACTTTTTAAGCTAAACTTTATCATAGGTAGGCATGTGTAGGAAAAAACATATATGTAGTATTTGCTATTATCCATGGTTTCAGGCATCCACTGGGGGTCTTGGAACATATCCTAAGAGATAAGGGAGGTCTGCTCTGCCTTTATGTAGCACCCTAATATTTGTCTTTACATTTTTATCTTAAACCAACATTACCACATCCTTGAGGGATACATCAGAATATTAGTTGGCAGAAAGTACAGCAGTACAGAAACTGAATGATATTGTGATCTCATTGTGGTGTGTCAATACTTCTGAGTTCATGTTGGCCAAATGTACTTCAGTGTCCTTGTACTTAGCAGGTGCTTTGGTGGCTGACAGCCTGAGACTTACCTCATGAGAGCAAATAAGAAAAAACCCAACAACCTGTAGATAATGAAAATGTCAGATTTCAAAGACTGCTGGTCCATTGTGTAAAGTGCAGTGACATATTAGTACAAATATTTACGTTCACCTTTCTCCCTGGAGTCTTTGTTCTCATTTAAACACTGAATGGCCATTGACTTCTTTTCAGAGGAAAAAAGAAAAGTGGCAAATCTTTCACTACCTTTTTCATAAGAACTTTCTTTTTGGAACTTGTATTTCTGATTCATGGTTTTTGAGGTGACGTGACTACCCCTATTTCAGCCTTTGTGGTTCATCTCTCTTACCAGGGGGTGCTTCCTTTAGGCTATGAATAGAAAGTTGGTTGAAAAAAACAAGCAAACATTTGCTGGGTCCCAAACCTGCACAAACCAACTTCTGAGTTTTTTTCTTTTAATGAGAAGATGAGTGGAGGAGTGAGGGTAAGTTTCAAGGCCCTGGAGGAACGTTTCCAGCATGGAGTCTTCTGGGTGCTTTAGCAAGGTGCTGGAGACCACAGATACTTGTGGAAAGCCTGAGACTTTGTGTTGATCATGCTCACCTCTGCTTGTCGATCCACTGACCTCCGGGTTATAGGCCCCAGAAGCTTCCACTGCACCGCTCTGCACACACTCCCCTATATTTTTGGTAGGGATGGTATCAAAGGGCCAGTGATCAGATCATGGAGCTGGCATGAGAGAGGTGAGGGGCAAGACTGCATAATTCAGTAAAATTTTAGCAATTCCTTTTCAGGAGTTTTTTTGGAGGTAGGGAGGCTTTTTGTTTTTTAAAGACTCAGAGTGATTTCTAGATGTGTGAAATCTTATTCTTGAGAGTAGAATTTAATAACTCCTCTGGGTTCCTATTAAGCTGTAATTGTATATTCAGGGCTATTTAAAGCAAAAATATTAAACTTTCCTTATTTGTAGACTCAATGCCTGTGCCACCTTTTCCCATATTTTTCAAGTTTGGTTTATTTCTGTATTCATTAGAAAGAACACATGATAATTTAAATAGAAGGCTTAGGTCCACTGCATGCACCATGAAGGTTGTGCACTCCAAATGCCCAGGGGCCCTGTTGCTGAGTTGCGGTGTGAGCAGTATTCCCTGGAGCTGTGACTCTGGTGGTGCTGGACAAGAGACCGGCCTTCATGCCAGCCATGGCGGAGTGGAATCACAGTTGGTGTTCCCATTTCTGCCTGTGATTTTCAGTTGACTGTGTATTTAAGGTTATTCAGTAATTTGATTGTAACATCTGGTCTATATATTGCTAATTTAGCCCATATTAGGGAGCATAGCATAACTGCAGGAGGAAAATATACTGATCTAGTAAAAAAGATGCTCTGATAACATATGCATCCTTTCTTTGGGCAGTAATATTCCTAGGAGCATTGTCTCAAATGTCCTCTTCTAGTCTACAGCACCATAGCCAGGAGGACTATGAAGCATAGCTACTTTCCCAGTGGAGGTCTGAAATAATGATTTGCCTTACAGATCAGTCTGGAATTACTATTATTGCTGTGCCTTCCTCCCAGTCCATCCTCCTATTAACAGTGTTTACCACTAGCTCAGTACCTCCTGAGCATCACTGGAAAGTGCAGGAATTGCCTGGTTTGGTCCTCTGGTGTGAATGTCATTTGCCATCGTCAGACTTGGCACTGCACATCGTTCTGAAATCTGAGTGCCCCTTGGACTCTCTGAGAAGTACCTGTGGAGAAGAGATGGTACACCCAGTGAGTGCACAGCCCAGCTGGGACTCATTTTAGGAATGAGAGGATGATTCCCAGGCTAATGAGCCCCTTCTGAAAGAGGATTTTCTGGGTGGTTATGTCAGTTGAAACTGAGTGTTTGGAGAATAAATGGTGACAGACAATGGCAGAACAGGGCATGAAAGCTGTGTCATTGTTTGTTACAAGTCTTAGTAACATCAACCTGCTTGCCATTTGGCTTGGCCTAATTTATGTTGAGCTCGGTGCCTGTCCGTGGGTTGGAGATAATTTGTGCTGTTGCTGCTTTGTTGATCATCTTCTCTTCCTGAGGAAGAAAGTGTAAGTTAGAGCTCAGGATAGCTTTCTGGAATATTCTGCAGCTTTAGCTCAGAGAACCAGGCTGTCTCCTCAAGCTTGGTGCCCACAAGCCCCTCTGTAGACCAGAGGTCTCAAACTTTAATGTGCAGATGACTTACTGGGGATCTTGTTAAAAGCATCCTGAGGCATTAAGTCTGAGATGCAGCTCAATATGTGGATTTCTAGTAAGTCCTGAATCAATGCTGATGGTCTGAGGACCACACTTAGTAGCAAGCCTCAGGGCATAGCAGGATGCTATGCTACGGCAACAGAGTGGCCCAGAAAAGTTGAGTGTGGGAAGGAGCAAGATGGAGTGGAAATAACTTTTCACATGAGATTATTGCTGTCCAGGCTCCTACATAGACTTGATAGTGAGTTCATTGTCACCATCCGCCTAGACCCTCACTTTGTATTACAGATGCTCCCCGAGGATGCACCCACGTGGAAGCCTCAGGAATACTGTTCCTTTCCCATCAAGAGCCCAGTGCAGAAGCTGAGCATATTCCACCAGTGAAAGAGACAGAGGTAAGCCGAATGCTCAGTTCTCCAGTGAATCACATTTCCACTGGATGGTGAACCTCGTGGTTCCTTCTATTCTGTTCAACTCAGCGGGTGTTTGTTGCGTGTCTGCTGTGGACCTAACTGTGCTAAGCTTGTGGATCTCTGATGAGGGTGAAAAGTGGTCTCTGCTGTTCAGAGGCTTAGTGAATTATTGGGAAAAAGAACCAGACCGCTTTTAAGCAATGGAAGAAAAACATGAGAAAGCAGGGATATAATTATGTGTTAAATTGAATATAATCAAGTGCCAAACCTATGACACAAGTAGTAAGTGATGTGAAAAGTCAGGAAGGGTTAGATGTTGGCTTTGTTCTCTGAAACTAGATTTACCAGTTTTTAGACTGAAAGCCCTGTTGTTTGACTTGCTGGGGTTGTAGAGATCTTGTGGATGCATAATTTGGAGCTACAGGGTAGGAAAGGGAAAGGTAGTCAGCACAGGAATGCAATCATTTGTTTCAGGTACCAAGAGCCCCACAGTGAATGCAAATCACACCTCCTACACCCCAGACCATCCCATCCCTTTGGGAATGAAGCATTTCTTTAAATGAAACCACCACCAGATAATGAGATCTTTGCTACACTGTGCTGGGTTGATTGGACACTCCCACAGCTTGTAGGGGATTCAGACCTAAAGGAAGTTCTTTCCATAGAGCATGAATAATAATAGAGCTTAATGGGAAAGGTCATCTCAGGATCTCAGGGCAGACACCTTATAGTTTATAGATGAGCAGAGGAGAAGGGGCTGGGAAGGCCCTCACAGGCAGGGAGGGACCACCTATCTTCTATCTTGTCCACAAAAGCCCTGTGGAAGAACAATGCCATTCAGCACTTCTATAGCACTTTAAACTCTTTCAGGAACATCAGCTGATAAAATCACATGACTTTACTCTGGCGAGCAAATGGCCATTGGTTTTCCCTATTTCTGAGAGTGAATTATGGGCACAGAACTTATGTGTGTCTGTTGGAAATACTCATGAATCCTTTGGCCTGTGAAGCTGGGAGAACAGCCAATCCTGACATGGCCAAATGGACCAGGTGACTTAGCTGTGTGGTGTGTGACCTAAGGACCAGTCTCCACACCTTCCCGTGTGACGAATGAGTATCAGTTTGCCTGAGTTGCCCCATGGAACTCCCCTCTCCCAGCTGGGGCTGTGGGAGAAGAAAGCACCTCCACCCTCCCTGCCCTGCCAGCAGGGTTAGGAGACTCCTCTTCCCTTCTTAAAGGGCCTTTTCAGAGGCGCTCTCCTCTCTGCTCTGTGTCCTGTTGAATGTCTCTTGCTTGGCTTTTCCATGTGGGGTCTGTCTCATGCTTACTTTGGTATCCTAGACAGCTGGGGTAGTGCCTCAGGCCAGGCCCAAGCAGGAACAATGTACCTGTAAACTTTGCCTGTCAGCAGCCATTCTCCATCGAGGGGAGAAGGCTGATAGGGAACTGCCAAATTTATCTAAAGGCTGAACTTGAAAGAAACCCTTTTTGTTTACTGGTCTTACCTTCTCTATCAAGAGCATTTGGAGGTCCAGCTGTTTGCAATTGGTGGCCTGTAGGCCAAATTTGGCCCACAGATGCATTTTCTTTAGCTGGTCTTATAGTTTGTAAAAATTGTAAGAATTACTGTTTAACATTTTTAAATGAGTGTGTTTTTATATAAAAAATGGGATTTCTGGCATCTCTTGAAAAACCTGTGAGGAGCTCCCAGACCTGCCACGAGCAGCCCTGGTCTTCCATTTGTCCCTGTGCCCCTCAGCCCACTGCACCCATTTCTTCATGAGCCCAGTCTCTGTGAGCATTTGAATTTTTTTATTTTGATGCATTTATTTCATCTTGGTATTATGGTTGGTGTGCCTAAGCCAGAGAAGAGGTGAGGTAGGTTTGGGTAGGAATGGTTCAGGAAAAGTAGAATGCTGATTTGGGGGACAACTTAGAAATGGTCCAAACTGGAGGCAGGGAAATGATGTGTTTTCAGTGCTTTTCAGATCGTCTGTGGAGAAGAAATAATTTGTTTTTTACTTTCCAATCTGTCACAGACCTGTGCTTTTGTAAAATACAACATACATCAATTCTAGGAAAATAAAGGGGATAAAAGACGTACAAAATACAAACCAGAGTTTATTATTAGATTTTACAGACCTTAAAAATTATTTTAGTAAACATGACCAGAATAAACATAAAATGGGAAAAAGAAAACAATTGTAAAGCTTCTACTGTTCATGTAATATATGCACATACGCTATAACTATAGACTTATACTGTAGCACTGTTATACTCATAGCCTTTTGTCTGCAAGTATGAGTAATGAAAAGTTATGGATGAAATGTAAATTTTCCATGTTAAATGCCTGTACACATACTTTTAATTAAACACCATGTATGTTAATATTTAAGGTTTTTAATGCAATAAGTAATGATGCTTCTTATTAATTTAACTAGTGTAGTTGAACTGACAACATTACTCACAAGGAAGGTGTTTCTGTGTTTTGTTTTAGTAACATTCATAGTATAGAATCTAGTCTCACAGAGATAAGACTTGACTTAAATGGGAGAATACGTTTTAAAATAACTTCATCAAACTCAGGATATTCATTTTTGTCTTTTCTCCAAAATGAATCAAATACAGCATTTCCAAAAATAATCCGTAATCACTTCATCAGTGATTACGGATTTCAATAAAATGTCAATAAAATATCCTGTATCAAATTATTAAAGCAAATTTCTACAATTTATCCTGTAAAGTTATGTTAGGGTGCAGGCTTCCGAGGCTTCCCCAGAGAACAAACTACACAGGCATAGAGATGTAAATTCAAGCAAAGTCTTTATTCAGCCAACTAGTTGGGGTCCAAGTCAGCCCGACGCAGCGGGTCTCAACAAGGACCCCGAGCACTCTGAGCCAAGGGTTTATATAGCAATTTCAAAGCACTTAACTCATAGCAATTTTCTATAACTATACATTATTCTTGCAAGACATATATCCTGGGGTTAAGCAAGGGCAGGGTAAGACTACTCCTCAATGGTTAGGGAGGTTCTGCACGATAAGCTTGGTATGTAAGATTTACTGACCAAGGTT